CTAGGGGCAGACGCCGCACCGACCGACTCAAGACCAACGAGGTCGGCCGTAGCGGCAGAGGCAACAGAGGGCAGGAGAGGGGAAGGAGAACACCCTCCAAAGATGGGGGCGCGGGGGTCACCTCGAGAGGCTCCTACAGCAACTATGCTCTTCTCTGCTGCAAGAAGGGCATTCTCGAGGCTGTCGACGGTGACGGTGGTGGGACAGACCGCAAGGAAGTGGTCCCGGACTACACGAAGGGAGTCACGGAGGCGAGTGACTAGGAAGTAGAGAGTGATGTACATGGGGGGGGGGTTCTTGGCGCAGAAGTCAGCAGGAAGTGCAGCGCGGTAGCGAGTGTCACTAGTGCGGAGGTGCGTGATGAGATCAGCGACAGTGGGAAAGGCGGCAAGGTCAGGGAAGAGGAAGGGGAGCATGAGGCGGCTCAGTGCAGCAGTGGCAGGGGAGGAGTAGCGTGCAACTACAGCGTCGTACAAGGTCTGAGCACTCTTGTACTGGCTAAAGTGCGCGCGCTCAGTGGTAGGCAGGTGGCGACGCACAGCAAGACGTGCAGCAGCATCGCGCGTGGCCCACTGAGAGCGAACAGTGGCGTCAGCATCAGCAGCAGGGGCAGGGACAGCGCCAGAGGTGAGGTCAAAGAGAGACAGACTGTCGGCCCTGTCGCACTGTAAAAACAGCTGCAGGTCGTCGAGCCAGACCTCAAAGTCAATGGCTCGACCCTCAGCGTCAAAAGTGAGGACAGTGGGTGTAGCCATGACGACGACAGTGGCGCAGTGCAAGCAGTAGGGGAAGGGTACGCAGTGACAGCGGTGCAGTGCTCACCGGGCAGGGCAGGTCGGGCGGCTCAGGAGGAAGGTCGCCAGACGACACGGCCGCTAGGCTGCTGGGCGGCTCGGCTCCCGGGCGGCTCGGCTGCTGCTGGGCGGCTCGGCTGCTGTTGGGCGGCTCGGCTGCTGCTGGGCGGCTCGGCTGCTCCTGGGCGGCTCGGCTGCTCCTGAGCGGCTCGGCTGCTGCTGGGCGGCTCGGCTGCTGCTGGGCGGCTCGGCTGCTGCTGGGCGGCTCGGCTGCTGTTGGGCGGCTCGGCGGCTCGTCTGCTGCTGGGCGGCTCGGCTGCCGCTGGGCCGCGTAGGTAGGGCGGCGGGTGGGCCGCAGGTAGGGCGGCGGGTGGGCCGCAGGTAGGGCGGCGGGTGGGCCGCAGGTAAGGCGGCGGGTGGGCCGCAGGTAGGGCGGCGGGACGGCCGCATGTAGGGCGGCGGACGGCCGCAGGTAGGGCGGCGGGTAGGCCGCAGGTAGGGCGGCGGGACGGCCGCAGGTAGGGCGGCGGGACGGCCGCAGGTAGGGCGGCGGGTAGGTCGCAGGTAGGGCGACGGGACGGCCGCAGGTAGGGCGGCAGGTAGGCCGCAGGTAGGGCGGCGAGTGGGCCGCAGGTAGGGCGGCGGGACGGCCGCAGGCAGGGCGGCGGACGGCCGCAGGCAGGGCGGCGGGACGGCCGCAGGTAGGGAAGCGGCGGGGCCGCGTCGAGGAGGCGGCGGGGCCGCGTCGAGGAGGCGGCGGGGCCGCGTCGAGAAGGCGGCGGGGCCGCGTCGAGGAGGCGGCGGGGCCGCGTCGAGGAGGCGGCGGGGCCGCGTCGAGGAGGCGGCAGGGCTGCGTCGAGGAGGCGGCGGGGCCGCGAGGGGAAGGGCGACACGGAGGGTCGCGAGAAAAAAAGAACGCGCGCCTCGGGGCGCGCTTCGGTGGGCCCTAGAGAACAGTCCCTAGGATGGGACCTGCTCTGATTCCATGTGGAAATAGAAACGTGAAATGAGTTGACTACGAACGAAGTGAGTACAAATAGGAAACCCTAATTGGGTTGTACCCCCTATGGGATACCCCACTATAGCCTACACAAACAAGTAAGCTACAATGTTCTGACAAAGACCCCACAATATCCATGACTCCGAATCCTGACAACCTGGTGCCACACGTGCAACAGTTCGCTGAAATTTTACAAGAAGCACAGACTCGAGCAGCAGACGCAATAAAAAAAATCGAACATCATCGCTAAGCGCAACGCCGGCCGCCACCGCCGACCTGTCAATTACCAGCCCGACGACCTCGTACTACTCAACACTCATAACTTCCGCCTGCCCATCACCCCAAAACTCCGCCCCCGATATTGCGGGCCATTTCGCATCAGCCCCATGATCACACCCGTCACCGCCCACCTCCTCCTCCCGGCTGCCTGGTACGTCAGCCCATCCTTCCACGTCAGCTTGCTTCGACCTTATGTACCATCCACCAGCCAACTACCCCGCAACCGCCCAGCCAGCATGACCCGACCACCGACAGGGCCAATCATCACGCCTAATAAAATCTTGAGCCACCGTGTTCGTGACCCATGAGGAGCTCGCAGGATCGAATTTCTAAACTGTTGGAAAGACCGCATGCACACCGAAGACAACTGGGTTCACTTGGACAGAATTGAAAACCACCCAGTCCTCACCGAGTATCTGCGCAGCTGAAATTTCCGGGATGTACGCGCGCTTTCATAAGGAGGGCCTCCTTACGGGGGGGAGGTTAGTCTAAGGAAAATTCATTTTCCTTACTTCGCGCCCCTGTTTAGCGCATACACCACTGTTCCCACCAACAGCACCCAACAATAAACCGTTACCACTCGCGGGATTCGCTTCGATACTGTTCCCGCCACTGTTCACGACGCGACCCAAACTCACGGCTCGGTTGGTAACCCGCGCTCCGGACCTCCGCCTCGACAATTCCCAACCTCGGCGCTAGGCCCGTCGCGCCCCCCATTTGCAGACATTACCGTTACAATTGTAGTTTCGGTATAAATTCATCGCTCATGCCTTCGCTCATTGAACTCTTGCTTCGATAGTGCAATTCTCACTCGCTCACTCAATTGCACTCGTAACATGCATCAAGTGACGAGTTGGAGGTTATGCCCTTATGCTTATGATTGCGGCTGATTTGTGAAAACAAGCACCCATAATAAGGGGCTATGAGGTGGATATGGTTGATAAAAGGAGGAGATTAGCTTTGGAGTTTCTCCATATACTGTAGTGGATTTGACATGCATGACAACACTTGCAGCAGAACTTGAGGTTGGTGTTCCGATGGTGTGAAGGCTGCTTTACTGTAGCTAAAATGACACGGCAAAACCAGGATTCGCTCTCACCCATTGGCCAAATATCGCGCCGCGCCAGCTCTTTTAGCCACTTCTATTCGCTACCCTTCCAAACCACGAGGTATGACTGGCTGGCCTTGTGGTCCCCCCATTGCCACCTGGCTTTGATTTTGGGAAAGGCAGGGGTGGTGCTGTAGAATGTTGCTCACGCAAAACGTCGATGCGCCAGGCTGGTTTATCCTACTTGCTTCGAAATGAAGCAGCAGTTATCGGGGATGGCTTGTTCCTGCTTCTTCTCGCTCTTCGAAAAGCCAACTTGTATGGCTGATGAGGCGTTCTTTCGGTTAGGGTTTGAGTAATGTGATGCTGCTGCTGCTGTTCACTTCGAGAACTGCGATGCGATTGATTGGTCAGCTTAACTTCCACCACTAGTTTATATCTCTCGTGCGAACGTCACTCGAGAGCTTCATCTGCTTTTTGCTGACGCCTGTGTAGTTCGTTTCTTCCCTCTCCCTCGTCCCCTCCGCTGCAGAAGCGGCGTGTTCGAACCGAACCTATTTCCGACCACAGAGCGACAGATCACCTCAACCTACCCCCACCTCACCTCCCATTGACCAAAACTCATCCGCGTTCCGTGCCTAGCGTGTGGTTGTCTAGCTGAGCTCGCGCCTCGATCTAGTTATCAATCAGAACCACCGTTATCCTCGCTATGGACTTTTTCGGCGCGACAATTCGGCATCCATTAGCACCTCCTATTGCCGGCCAGTCCCTTCCCCAAACCACCACTCTCCCGCGTCCCGATGCCTTTCCTCTGACACCTCAATCATGGCTCGAGCAGCCGCTACAACAGCAGCAGCAGCAACAGCTGCAGTCGCAGCTTCAGGAGCAGGCGCTGCTGTCGCAATTAGGTCACGACCAGGCGATGCAATTAGGTCAGCTAGCGCAGCTCCACCAGATCCAATCGCGAGCCTTAGCAGCCTCGTCCGCGTTAGCCTCTTCCGCGCCGCAGAATTTCCTCCGCGAATTGCAGATGCAGCGCCACATAGATGAGGAATCCCGCCTTCTGGCACTTCAGCAGCAGCAGCAGCAGCAGCATCAGCAACAGCATAACATGGCTCTCTTGCAGATGCTCATGGAACGACAGCAGCAGCAGCAACAGCAAGCCGCGGCGTCTCAACTTCAGGATTCGCTGTTTCAGCAGCACCAGCAGCAGCAGCAGCAACAACAGCAGCTGGAGTTGCTACGTCATTCCCAGCACCCGTTAGCAACAGCAGCTCCCGCCTCTCCTGCGTTAGGAGCAGCAGCTTCAGCAGCGGTGCAACTCGGTCAGGAGGCGAGCAACAGCGGGTTACTAGCAGCGGCAGTGGCCGCCGCTGCAGCCACTGCTGCGGCAGACGGCATGTGGCAGGGTCGGCAGGGTGGGCATCAGCAGCAGCGATCAGCGTCGCCGTTGCAGCGTCTGAAGCAGGAGAGGCACCCGGCGGAGGCGAATCAGCGGCAGCAGCAGTCGCAGCTGATGCAGCGTCGTCAGAATTCGCAAGACAAGCCGCAGCACTCGCAGCGGCAGCCAGCGCAGCAATTTGAAAATTCGCAGCAGCAGCAGCAGCAGCAGCAGCTAGCGGCGGCCTCCCTTCCAGAAGCCAGCGCTTCAGTCCCCTTGAACCATGTGGACGTCTTGTCACCTTCCGCAGGACCGGCAGCAACAGGAGCATCAGCTTCAGCTACAGCCACAGCAGCAGCTACAGCCATAGTAGGAGCAGCAGGAGCAAGTGGGCCAGGGGCAGCAGCAGGGGATGCGGATATTTTGGAGATTTCCGCCTTTTCCGCGCAGCCTAGCGGCGACCTGTTCATCACCGGCGGACCTAGCAGCTCCGCGCTCATGGTCCCCGCGGGTTCCGCGCTCGTGTGCCCCGACTCCCCGAACTTCGTGTCGCTGCTATCCATGTTCTCCTCGCCCCACCCGCTCAGCTGCGCGGGCTCGCTCGCGGATGGGCAGGAGGGGGAAGAGCAGCAGGAGGATTCCAAGGCGGGGGTGCTGGTCAGGGGCGGGGGGGGCGGATGGGGAGGGGGAAGGGGAGGCGGAAGGGGCGCGGGCGGTAGAGGGGGTGCGGGGCAGCTGATGTGCGCTCCGCCGAGGAATATGCTGCAGGTGGCGGGGGGCGCGCGCGCGGAGAGGGTTCCGGGGCTGCGGGGGCGGATAGAGAAGGCGTTGAGAAGCCTCTGCCAGGTGTGTGCGCATTGGGGGGAGTCGAGCTGGTGGTTTGGAAGAAAGCATGCGGGGGGAAGGTAATGGGCGGGAGATGGTGCCTTTGGGGAGTGAAGGGGAGTGCCACGCACTCTGTGACTCCCCTTTCTCACGAGAAGTTTCTGACCGTCCCATATTCCCTCTCGTGAGAAAGGGGAGTTACAGACTCCTCTTCAAATGCCTCGGTCGCGAGGCGACCTGCTGGCGCAGGTGTGGTGTGGTTCCCCACGTAAGGCTCTCCATTTTTCCCCTCTTAGTAGAAACGCCCTTCCGCTCTCCCCCCTCCCCTTTTCTCCCCCACCCAAACACCGCAGTCGCGAGGCGATCTGCTGGCGCAGGTGTGGTTCCCCACGTGGCACGAGGGGCAGCGCGTGCTGAGCACGCGCGAGCAGCCGTTTGTGCTCATGGAGGGCAGTGAGAAGCTGCGCGTCTACCGCACCATCTCCACCAAGTGAGCACAGGGGGAGGGGATGAGGGTGGTGGTGGTGGTGGGGGGTTGGCGTGGGGGCATGTCAGATGCCTTTGAGGATGGCGAGCAGCCGTTTGTGCTGATGGAGGGCAGCGAGAAGCTGGCGTCTACCGCACCATCTCCACCAAGTGAGCTGCAAAGGGGGGATGGGGGAATGGATAGAGCTCCTTTTCCTCTGTTTGGTGGTGTGGGGCTGAGAGGAGCGGATGCCTTTCGAGATGCCTTTGAGAAGAGAAGCTTCGCATGTACATCTACCGCACACACCATCTCCACCAGCGGGTGAGTGCTCGGTTCGGGTCCTCCTTACCATCTTACAGTCTCACACGCCTCCCTTCCTTCCTTCTTTCCCTCCCGTCTCCTCCCTTCCCCTCCATCCCGCCCCCCACCCCCTCCCCCCCAGCTATACATTCCCCTTGTCCAGTGGGGGAATACCAAAGCCTACCAGGCCATATATTTGTATCTGGCCGCCCAACGTGCAGACCACTCGTGGGACGAGTACCTCCGAATGGCACACGCCTGACCCCCTGTCCCCCGCCCCCTGCTCCCCTCCAACCCCCCCCCCCCCCCCCTGCTCTCCGAACCTCCAATATCCTCCCCAGCTACGCTTTCCCATTGTCCGGCAGCGGGTACCTAGGCCTACCAGGGCGAGTGTTCATGTCCGGTCGCCCCGAGCGGACGCCCAATGTGCAGTACTACTCGCGGGACGAGTCCCTCCGATCGGCGCACACCACCCCTGACTCCCTGCCTCACCTGAACGTCCCCCGCCCGCCGCCCTCCCCTTTGCTCCCCACCCCCCAGCTACACATTTCCCCTCTCTGGAAGTGGGTACCTGGGTCTACCAGGCCGTGTGTTTGTGTCGGGTCGCCCCGAGTGGACGCCCAACGTGCAGTACTACTCGCGGGACGAGTACCTCCGCGTGGCCCACGCCACTCGCTGCAACGTGCGCGGGGCTCTGGCTGTGCCCATTTTCCGCGTGCTGGGGAATGAGGGGAAGGGGAAGAGGAAGGGGAAGGGGAAGGGGGAAGCGGGGGAGGGGGGTGGGGAGAGCTGGGGGACGGGCAGCAGTGGGAGTAGCAAAGGCGGGTGGGAGTGGGAGGCGGGAGAGGGGCGGGAGGGGGAAGGGGAGGGGGATGAAGGGGAGAGCGGGGGGAAGGTGATGGTGGTGAAAGGGGAGGGGAGATGGGGCGGGGGAAGCGGAGGGGTGAAGGGGAGGAGGAGGCAGGAGCTGGTGGCGGTGGTGGAGCTGGTGATGATGGGGGAGGACGTGCGCTTCGGGCCTCAGATCGATGCCGTGTGCAACGCACTGCAGGTGAGAGGGCGATGCAGGGGTGCATATGGTTTGGTTTGGGGGTGCAGTCTGCTCTGCTGCAGGGAGGTGCATATGGTCTCTGGGGGAGGAGGAGGCAGGAGCTGGTGGCGGTGGTGGAGCTGGTGATGATGGGCGAGGACGTGCGCTTCGGGCCTCAGATCGATGCCGTGTGCAACGCACTGCATGTGAGGCTGAGGTTGAGTGCGGTGCAGAGGCGTGCAAATGGTGTGGGGGGAAATTCTCTGGTCTTGAAAGCAGGGAGCGGTGGTGGAGCTGGTGATGATGGCGAGGACGTGCGGTTTGACCTGCAGATCAATGCCGTGTGCAACGCACTGCAGGTGAGAGATAGAGGCCAGTGCAGTTCAGAGGGGTGCACGTGGTCTGGATACAGGTGCAATGCGGTGCAGAGCGGTGCAAGTGTGGTCTTTGGGAGGGGGGAATCGACTTGAAAGCAGGGAGCGATGGTGGAGCTGGTGATGATGGGCGAGGACGTGCGGATTGACCTGCAGATCGATGCCGTGTGCAATGCGTTGCAGAGCAGGGTGCAGTGTGGTGCAGAGGGGTGTATGTTGTTTGTGTCTAGGGTACAGTGCAGTGCAGAGGAGTGCATGTGGTGGTTGGGGGGGGATGTGTTAAGGGCGCAGATTGATGCCCTGTGCAACGCGCTGCAGGTGAGAGACAGGGGTGCAGTGCGGTGCAGAGGGGTCGATGGGGATGGGGGGTGTTGCAGAGGTGTGTTATGGCACAGCCCTCAATCCATTCCAGTTCCATTCGCCATTGCAGTGGGCACACATTTTATGCCCCTGTACCTCGGAAATCCTCATGCCACTGCCAAACAGTGCATTACATCCCACCCCACCCACTCTTCAGACGGTGGACTTGACCAGCATTCGTGCATGGGACCACCTTCCAGCAGAGGTGAGCCTATGTTTCTGATGGCATTGGAGCGTCTTGTGTTTCTGACTGCGAATCTGCATCTCATGTTATTGACTGCATTTCATGCTTGTGACTGCAAACACAACCCGCTACCCATGTCTTACTCTTTGCTTTCTCTTTCCTCTCCCGCACCGGCCGTCTCTCGCTCTCAGATGCCCTTCCCTGGCTGGGGAGCAGTACTTACCGAGATACACGAGGTGCTCTGCTCTCCTCGCTCTGTGTCAACCACTTGCTCCAAGCCATGTCTTACTCTTTCCGTTGCCCTCTTTTCCTCTCCCGCACCCGCCTCCCCTCCCGCTCAGATGCCCTTCCCTGGCCGGGGGGCAGTGCGAACAGAGATACATGACGTGCTCTCCTTGCTCTGCGACAAGACAAGCACTCGCTGCCCTGCTCCCAGCATGTGTCCCACATTCTCCATCCCTCCTCTCCCCCGCCCGCCTCCCCTCCTTCCCAGATGCCCTTTCCTGGCCGGGGTGCAGTGCTCACAGAGATACACGAGGTGCTCTCCTCACTCTGTGACAAGCACTCGCTCCCCCTCGCCCAGACCTGGATCCCCTCCTCCTGGGTGCGCCTCACCGAACCTCCTGCCGCACCTGCCGCCGAACCTGCGGCTCGGGGGTGCGCGGGGCCGGTAGGGGCGAGCATGCGGAGCAGTGTGGGGGCGGGGTGGAGCATGCGACGAGAGGGGGCGGGGCGGGGAAAGGGGGCAGTTGACGTGGGGAGCTTACAGGAAGACGTGTTTGAAGTGTTTCATGTTGGCAGAGAGGGTAGAGGAGGAGAAGGATTGGGAAGAGGGGGGGAAGGAGCGGGGAGAGGAGGGGTAGGAGACGGGGAGGAGGAGCAGGGAGGGGAGCAGCAGGGACGGGAGGAGCAGGGAGGGGAGGAGGAGCAAGGGGAGGAGGAGGATGCAGTAACACTCTTCACAGCGGACATGCCGAGCTGCGTGGCGGATCTGCGCATGTGGGGGTTCCGCCAGGCGTGCTGCGAGCACCAGCTGCAGGCCGCCCAGGGCTGCCCCGGCCGCGCCATGACCTCCAACGCCCCCGCCTTTTGTGACGACCTGCAGCTTCTCACCAAGGAGCAGTACCCTCTAGTGCACTACGCGCGCATGTTTGGGCTCCGGGCGGCTGTTGCCATCCGGCTAAGATCTGTTTTGTCTAAAGATATGGACTATGTTTTGGAGTTTTTCCTGCCGCCGGGGTGCAGGGAGAAGGAGGAGCAGCAGCGGTTGCTGACGCAGCTGTCGCAGAGCATGCAGGAGGCGTGCCGGAGCCTCAGGACGGTTACTGTGGAGGAGATGAGGAGGAGTAGGTCCGGGAGTAGGTCCGGGAAGAGTGGGGGTAGTCGAGGCACAAGGTCAGGCTCGGGGACAGGAGGGGCGGAGGCGGGAGGATCGGTGGCTGGTGGGTCCGTGATGGGAGGTGGCGGGGTGGAGACGAGGGAGGGGCCGTGGGGGGGAGGGAAGGGAAAGGGGTTGGTGGGGGAAGGTGTGTCGGAGGGAGTGAGTGTGGTGAGGGGTGTGGGGGGGAAGGGGGCGAGGGAGGCGGCCGAAACTCCAGAGAAAAGAGGTAGGGAGGTGAAGAGGAGGCGAGTGGAGGGACAAGGGGAGGGGGAAGGTGTGAGGGTGTGTGAGGGCGCGGGTGTTGGTATGAGGGAGACTGGAGTGGGGGATAATGGTGTGGGCGAGAGCAGTCCCTTTGAAGCCGCAGCAATGGCAGAGCTCTGTGAAGGTTCGGCAGTCACGCCATTGGCTCACGGTGTGCCACCTGGCACTGGCACAGCTGACGTGGCGTTTCCACTGGGGAACAGTTCTGCTGCGGGGCTTGGGGTGAATGGATTAGGGTGTGGGGAGGAGGGGGACCATGGGGGCGTGGGGAATGGTGCGGGCATGAGCAATGGTGGGGAAGTGGGGAATGGTGATGGGAATACGGGTAATGGTGGTGGCGGTATTGGGAATGCTTGGGCGGAAGGTGTTTTTTCCGAGCAGCAGCAGCAGCAGCAGCAGCAGCAGGGGGAGATGGGAGCAGCCCCAATTACACTTACGGGTATGGGAACGGGCATGGGAACGTGCATGGGAACGGGCATGGGAACGGGCATGGGAACGGGCATGGGAACGGGCATGGGAACGGGCATGGGAACGGGCATGGGAACGGGCATGGGAACGGGCATGGGAACGGGCATGGGAACAGGCATGGGAACAGGCATGGGAACAGGCATGGGAACAGGCATGGGAACAGGCATGGAACAGGCATGGGTGGTGGCGGCAGCCTCAACATCAACGCAGGTGGGATGGGCACAAGCATGGGCATGCAGGCCATGCCACCTCTACCTGAAGACGCTTTCTCAGGTGAAAGCTCAGGTCCTACACCCATGGTCTCTGCAGCTGCCGGCCCTGCCGCCCCTGCCGACCCTGTGTTGGGCAGCAGCGAGGCGGCAGCTGCACCTGCTGGCCAATCAGGTGCCCCTGCCACGTCAGACAGGAGTGGTGACAGCCTGGATGAAGGGGGAGGGGCGCTGGAGGGGACTCCAGACGGGGCAAGCTCGGGGCAGCCTTCAGGAGGGGCGGAAGGGGGGGCGGAAGGGGGAAGGCAGGGGGGTACGCGTGTAGAGGAGGATGTGACAGGGGGAGGGGGAGGGGGGGAGGAGAGGGCGGGAGGGGCGGAGGGGGGGCCGAAAGGGGGGGTGAAGAAGGGGGAGAAGCGGAGGGGGGGGACGAATGAGAAGAGCATCAGTCTGGGCGTGCTGCAGCAGTACTTCGCAGGCAGCCTCAAGGACGCCGCTAAGGCACTGGGAGGTGAGATTTGGGGTGTGCAGTGTGTGCCTTGTGGGGATGGTGAGTGAGTCGAGAAGAGCATGAGTCTGGGCGTGCTGCGGCAGTACTTTGCGGGGAGCCTAAAGGACGCCGCTAAGGCACTGGGAGGTGAGTTGCATTGTGGGGTTCGTGGTGTGAGTGGTGGTGGTGGTGTGCGCTGTTGTTGGGAGGTGAGCATTGGGGTGCGCAGCATGTGCCTTTGTCGTGGGAATGATTTCAAATGATTTCACGTGGGCCTATGGGGTGCTTCAAATGATTTGCCAGGCCCTGAAGACGGGTTTGCACAGCCCTCTGACTGTCTCGTTCCTGTCCCTACCCCCCCCCACGCTGTTCCCCCTTCCTCTCCAGTGTGCCCCACCACACTCAAGCGCACACGCAGGCAGCACGGCATCGCGCGGTGGCCATCCCGCAAGATCAACAAGGTCTCTTGGAGCATTCAGAAGCTGCAAGACGTGATTGAGTCCGCGCAGGTGGTGACTGAGTGGACGGCCTTTTGTGAGCACGCCCAGTCCAGCGTTCATCCCTCTCCTCCTGGCCATCTGTCCTCTTCTTCCCCTCCCTCCCTTCCCCTCGCCCCCCTCTAACCATGCAGTGTGCCCCACCACACTGAAAAGGATATGCCGGCAGCATGGAATTGCCAGGTGGCCATCCCGCAAGATCAACAAGGTCTCGAGGAGCATTCAGAAGCTGCAGGACGTGATCGAGTCTGTGCAGGTGCCAGCTGGCGCGCTGCGATTGGACGCCATCACGTCTGAGCTGGCGACGGCCGCGGCGGTGAAGGCGGTCACGGGGGCGCAGATCGGAGGGTCTGCCAACTCGCCAGCATTTTCAAACCCAGCTTTAGCGGCAGCAGCAGCAGCAGCAGCAGCGGCAGCAACAGGGGCCGGGCAAGGGCAACAAGCACATGTTCCAGGAGGTTCCACTATACTCCCAGCTCCCTCCTTTGGCTTTAACTCCACCTCCTTCCAGTCCCTCCCTTGGCCTGGCAATCGCCATCCCTCCATGCTTGACCCTATGGTCGGAGGCTCGGCACATGGACCTGGAGGTTCGGCTCACGGGCCACTGGCCACGGGAGGTTCAGCGCACGGACCACTTGCCATGGCTGGAGGCTCGGCGCATGGGCACTTTGCAGGAGGGTCGGCGCACGGCCCGTTTATGGGCGTGGGAGGTTCGGGGCACGGAGGAATGGCGTTTGCGGGAGGTTCGGGGCATGGGGGGGTGGCGTTTGCGGGAGGTACGGCACATGGAGGGAATGCATTTGCGGGAGGTTCAGCCCATGGCGGGAATGCATTCGCGGGAGGCTCGGCTCACGGAGGCATGGCGTTTGCAGGAGGTTCGGCACATGGGGGCAATGCGTTTGGGGGAGCAGGCGGGTCGACACATGGCGCGACGCTACTGGCTGCAGCAGCGGGAGCAGGATCAAATCACGGGCCGTACCCAGGGGGTCCAGTGCAGGGGGGGTATATCCTCGTGGGTAGCTCAGCCCATGGCCCACACATGGCTCATATTGGGGGGTCTTTGCATGGGGCAGGGGGGTCCATGCATGGCGGAGGGTCAATGCATGGGGGGATCATGGCTGGTGTGCAAGCTGCTGCTGGTATGGGTATGGGTGGTCCTGGCATGGCAGCAGGCATGCAAGCAGGGGGGTCGCATCACGGTGGATATTTCTTTGCAGGGGGCTCGGGTCATGGGGCACATATGATGCTGGGTTCACCCCATGGGGGGGCATATGCAGGCCCAGCAGCTGCTGCTGCTGCCGCTGCTGCTGCAGGCATGGCCGGACCTGGCGGGAGCGGAGGTTCGGGAGGAGGCCTGGGGCCGAACCAAGCCGGCGGGTCGATGCATGGGGGAATGGCGGGAAGCGCAGGCGGGGTGCACGCGGTGAATAGGACACCGCCACCTGGCAAGCTGCCGATTCCTCGGGATCCGTCTACTTCCAATCTGAGCCTTGCTTTGAGTCTTAAGAATGGAGCCGGGACGCAGAGAGCAAGTGGGGCGGTTGCAGGGGGGGATGACGAGGGCACGACACATGGCACGAGCCTATTGGCCAGTCTGCTTCGGAGGAGTGATGAGGAAATGGGGTTGGTTGGGGGGATGGTGACAGGGGGAAGGGGAGAGGGGGATGCGGCGGAGGGGAAGGGCGGTGGGGGACATGAGGGGGGAGGGGGTGGGGGAGGTGGTGGTGGGGAGGGGGAGAGGGATGGGCAGTTGGGGATGAGCCTGGGTGGGCAAGCAGGCGTGGCAGGGGGTGTGGCCGGTGCTGCTGCAGGGGAGCAGTGGTTACAACAACAGCAGCAGCAACAGCAGCAACAGCAGCAGCAGCAGCAGCAGCAGCAGCAGCAGCAACAGCAGCAACAGCAGCAGCAGCCGGAAGCTGCTGCTGCTGGTGCCGGTGGTGCGAGAGGGCAGCAGAGGGAAGAGACTCGGGTGCACGGGGGGCGGTCAGCCTTTGTGGCTCTCCGCAGCTACCAGCCAATTGCAGGGGACCAATCCAACGACCACCACCACAACCAGCACCAGCAGGGGCAGCAGGGGCATGGGCAAGCAGCAGGCGGCAGGGAGGGGCGGTCAAATGGGTTTGAGGAGCGTGAGGGCGCGGCGGGCGGGGTGGGGGGGCGGCTGCGCGGTGGTGCGCCCTGTGCTGCTGATATGGCTGCCCTCGGCCATGCAGGCACGGGGGGAGGCGGGCAGGGTGGATTCGGGGGTAGAGGGGGTGCTGGTGGTGCTGCCACTGGTGGTGCTCATGCCCCCACCACATCGCTACACCTATGGGAGGCAGACCGCGGTGCTGCCTCTGCCTCTGCTGCAGCAGCAAGCACCGGAGGAGCAGGAGGAGAAGCAGCCGGAATGGCAGCAGCAGCAGCAGGAGGAGGAGGAGCAGGAGGGACCCAGTCAGTGGTAACGATCAAAGCTACATTTGGAGGGGATACAATTCGGTTCAGAGTGGCGCTGAACTCTTCAACGTTCCAGCGGGTGCAGGAGGAGGTGGCGAGCAGGCTGAGAGTGCCAGTGGGTGCATTCTCGCTCAAATATTTGGACGAGGACGGCGAGTGGGTGGTGCTGGCGGGCCCTCAGGACATGGACGAGTGTGTGCATATAGTTCGAGCTTCGGGGAGCAATACCATAAAGCTGAACATTAAGGCTGAAGCTCAGGGGCGAGGGTGAAGCAGGCTGAGAGTGCCAGTGAGTGCATTCTCGCTCAAATATTTGGACGAGGACGGCGAGTGGGTGGTGCTGGCGGGCCCTCAGGACATGGACGAGTGTGTGCATATAGTTCGAGCTTCGGGGAGCAATACCATAAAGCTGAACATTAAGGCTGAAGCTCAGGGGCGAGGGTGAAGCAGGCTGAGAGTGCTGGTGGGGCCATTCTCGCTCAAATATTTGGACGAGGATGGCGAGTGGGTGGTGCTGGCTGGCCCTCAGGACATGGACGAGTGCGTGCATATAGTTCGGGTTTCGGGGAGCAATACGATCAAGCTGAACATCATCAGGGCGGAAACGGCTGGGAGAGGGTGAAGTGGGGGGCTGTGGAGGTGCATATGAGTCGCCTCAGGACATGGATGAGTGTGTTCACATCGTGGGGGCTTCGGGGAGCAATACGACCAAGCTGAACATCAAGGCGGAAAGCTGGGGACGAGGGTGAATCTGTCCTCAGTACTTGAGAGTGTGTCCCTCATGTACTCGGGTTAGGACGGCCAGTGGAAGGTGCTGGTGGGCCAGCAGGATAGGAAGGAGAGTGCAGGTAACTTCCATGTGCCTGTGACCTGCGCGTCAGTGGGTCCTGTGCCAGCCGGCCGAAAGTAGAGACTGGAGAAAAGTTAGAACCTCACAACACTAGAGCTTCGAGAGAGTGGGGATGTTTGCATTCAGGGCACATGCCCTGCCGGCCTGCCGGCCTCCCGCACAGCCAGTTTTCCAGGCTGGTTGTTTGGAATCTGGATTGTTCTGTAGTGGTGCCAAGTTTGGGTGATCTCGTGGGTACGGTTTGGAATGGTTGGAGAGAGTTGATGCGCTGCACCGCTGATGTTGTCTTTTATATGGTGCGACATCAAGTTACGCTTCATTTATAGGATGTACTTATCGCTTTTATCATATATGTTCTTTACTGTAGTTTTCTCAGCCCTGGTTTAGTTAGCCTGGGTGAAATGCTGTACGGGATCTGGAGGCGATGATTTCTTTGTGCTCCCATAAGCTACATTGTAGATTCTAATGCATCGCTGAACACTGATGCACGAGTTACTCGAGGACCAGCTCTCGAGGACCAGCTCTCTCTGATAAACTCAAGAACACTGTACACATTCAAACTCCATCTCGTATTATCACATTGTTATGTACCGCTGCTAAGCTAGTCTACGGCCATGTAACACATCCATTTGTAACCACTCGTCAAACTCATCCGGTGCATCATCTCTGCACACACGCAATGGAAGCGGGCACAACACCACAATCAAAGAGAGTGGATGGGGAAGTGCTGTCGGAAGAGAAGACGGGGGATATTTGAGCAGAAGCAAGACGATCAAGGGCCACACAGAGGGTATGTGTGATCATACAGAGGTATATACCAGCGAATACAGCGGCATAGAGGGGTATACAGGGGTATACGGAATCATACGGAGGGTAAATACAAATTTATACAGGGGCATAGAGGGGTATACAGGGTATAAAGAATCATACAGAGCGTATATACAATTGTATATATAGAGGGGTATACAGGGGTATTCAGGAGTGAGCAGGGGGCACTCAGAGTGATTGCTCTACCAGGCCTGATTCTGATGCTGTGGGGGCATCCAACTCATACCCCTCAGCTGCCCTCTGCTGCCCTCAGCTGCCCTCAGCTGCCCTCTGCTGCCCTCTGCACTGCTGGCAGCAAGTCCTGAGGTGCTTCAGAACAACAGTATAGTATACATGCACCAGCGGCCACTCACAGGGATTGCTCTGTGAGGCCTGATTCTGACGCTGTGGGGGCAACCAGCTCATACCCCTCGGCTGCCCTCTGCTGTGACGCTGCACTGCTGGCCGCTCTGGGAGAGGGGTGCGAATGGGTGGAGATGGGTAGGGATGGATGGGAGGCAATTCATTGGGGGTGAGGATGGGTGGGGGTAAAGGGGGGTGAGGATGGGTGGGGGTAAAGGGGGGTGAGGATGGTTGGGAAATGATGGGGGTTGCGGATGGGAGGGGAAGTACAGAGGGATTTGAAAGGGTGGAGAAACGAAGGGGATGGGCGTGCAGGAGTGGAGAGGGATTGCATGGGAGACAGAGGCCTTTCTGGAGTTGATGCGTAGAGACAGAGGAGGACTGATAAAAGTTAAGCTAACTGCGGTTGGTTCATGAACTTGATGAATGCTGCATTGTGCAGCATTCATGATATAAAGTAAGAGGTGGATGGAGGTTTCAAGTAAGGATGGCTGCAAGCGACTCACTCACCCCAGGAATGTGGAAAGGGCGAGAGAAAGGGCTTCAAGCACTGCCACAAGCACATATGGCACCTGCATGGCAAGGAAAAACGGCAAGGGGAAAGCAGAGGGAGGGAGAAGTGGGAAGGGAAGGGAAAAGCTGAGGCACGTGTGCAAGAGAAAGGCTGAGGCGGAAATTGAGGCTTGCCACAGAAGCACAGTTGTATGCAGGGTAGATTTTACGATTAAGTAAGATCCATTCATCAGCCTGTTCAAAGATGCATGAATAGCAAGCTACAAAAAGAAAGTAAGGAAAACAAGCTAAAAAAAAACTCACAGCAGTCATGCGTCTACAAAAAACTCTTCGTTTCATATATATATATATATATGTATATGTGTATGTATACACATATACATATATATCTATACATATTTTAGTGTCTACTATTTTTTTTCTGAAATTTGAGGCGTCCTCACGTAGCTAGCGCTGATTTTTGAAACACCTCACAAGGGGTACTCGCAGCGATGAAGCGGCCGCGAGCAGCAAAGCCAAAGGCCGCCCACGTGCATGCAGCAGCTAGAACCGACTTTTTTGGCACCTCATAGGGCACCTCACAGGGCGCCTCACAGGGCGCCTCACAGGGCACCTCACAGGGCGCCTCACAGGGCACCTCACAGGGCGCCTCACAGGGCACCTCACAGGGCACCTCACAGGGCACCTCACAGGGCGCCTCACAGGGCGCCTCACAGGGCACCTCACAGGGCACCTCACAGGGCACCTCACAGGGCGCCTCACAGGGCGCCTCACAGGGCGCCTCACAGGGCGCCTCACAGGGCGCCTCACTCACAGGGCACCTCACAGGGCGCCTCACAGGGCGCCTCACAGGGCGCCTCACAGGGCGCCTCACAGGGCGCCTCACAGGGCACCTCACAGGGCACCTCACAGGGCACCTCACAAGGGGCACTCACGGCAATAAAGTGGTCTTGAGCAGCGAAGCCAAAGGCCGCCCACGTGCATGCAGCAGCAAGAGCTGAGCAGCTGAGGAAGAGGTGAGATGGCTGTGCCGATGCTGCTGTGTCCAGCAGGATGAGCTGATGCGGGATGAAGGGACGAGGGGATGAGGGGAAGAGGAGAAGAGGAGAAGAGGGAATGAGATCACCAGGCCATGCGCATGCAGCAGCTAGCGCTGCGCAGCTGAGGAAGAGGTGTGACGGCTGGGCGGACGCTGCTGCGTCCAGCAGGCTGAGCTGATGCGGGGATGAGAACATGAGGGGAAGAGAAGAGGGAATACAATGAGGCCACTGAGACACTAGGGATTCAGGGCAACCAAGTGGTACGCAGCCAAAGGCGGCACATGTGCGTGCAGCAGCCAAAGGCGGCTCATGTGCGTGCAGCAGCCAAAGGTGGCTCATGTGCGTGCAGCAGCCAAAGGCGGCTCATGTGCGTGCAGCAGCCAGTGGTGAGAAGCTCAGAAACGTGAGGCGGTGCGATGAGCGATGGGTGATGGCTGGGCGAATGAGGCGGTGTCTAGCAGGCTGAGCTGCAAAGAGGTGGGGGTGAGGGATGGGGGGACGGGGTAAGTGGATGGCTTCATGTGGAAAGGAGTATGAACAGAACAGACAGGTTGCTTTTGTGGTGCCTGATAGCACTGGTTTAGTGTGGTTGAGTGCGGTTGAGAGGTGCTTAAGGGACAGCCTGTACCATGCGGGAAAGGGGCTGAGAGGCGAGCAGGAGAGCCGCAGCAGCTGAGGCAGTCCATCCGATGACGAGTGAGGAAGGTGCGAAGAAGGATCCGAGGAAGAGCACCAGGATGGAAAGGCCAGAGGCTGGTAGCAGCAGTTGCAGCACCTGCCGCTGAGGGGTGTTGGGTGAGGGGTGAGGGGTGTTGGGTGAGGGGTGTTGGGTGAGGGGTGAGGGGTGAGGGCAGGGCATACAGACAGGCCGAGACCAGCGTGAGAGGAGCTGGTTGTGATTGCAAGAGGTGCTGGTGTGGGAAACGGACCAGAATTGAGTTGACTCAGAATCCATGGGTTGTGCTGCTGTCCCGGTCCCTCATGCTGGTGTGGTCTGGATGAGGTACAGGGACAGACCTGGCTTGCAAAGATCCATCTCCCAACAAGCAGAAGTCACTCAATTGGGTATTCCAATCCAACGTACAAGCAGCAGATTGTAGTCAGAGGTTCTTATAAACGATTGGGCTTTTTTCCTCTTTTTTTGTGTGTGAGTGTGTGTGTTTTTTTTTTTTTTTTTTTTTACCCCTTGTTCCAAAAAAGGGAGCAACGTACCAGGCGCAGGGTGTGGGTGGAGGAGTCAGAGGAGATGAGGGAGAGGAGGAGGACGGAGAGGGAGAGTGACTGTAGGACGTGCGCGAGCAGGAAGAGAATGCGGCGGGGTGTGACTATAGGGAGGGTGTAGGCCGTCCAGAGGAGGGAGGAGAGGAGGGAGCAGGAGAAGGGAGCTGTAGAGATGCTGCTCCGGGTATAGGGCGAAGAAGCTTCTTGGAAGGCGTTCCTGAAAGGATGAGCGAACGCATGGGTCAGGGGAGGAGGAGATTATGCATGATTGAAACTTGAGGTGTGATTGTGGAGAAGCGCGGATGCTGGTTGATCATGGGGGCTGTTGCCTACGAGGGCTTTTGAGACGTTTCAGAAGCGCGGATGCTGGCTGATCATGGGGCCTGTACCCTACAAGGGATTGTTAGACAGAAACTAACAGGGCTGTGAAGCATGGATGAGGTATGGGGAAAGCAGTGGTAACGCATGGGGGGATGTAATGGCGGAATGCACGGGTTAGGAGTGGAAGAGGTATGGGAAGGGCATAGGAGATGAGACCCATGGCATGGGAAACGAACCAGTAAGCTGCCTGAAGGAGACACGTGGTGAGCAGGCCTGCACGAAAAAACAATATTAAACACAACAAATAGAACGTTAGCAATATTCAGAAGTCCCACTGGAAATGAGACGCGACTGGCTGCACTCGTAGTATTATTAACGCTCAGTATAGTTGAATTCGCGAAAATTAAAGTATCGCTACCGGAGAGCACGAGCCACACAGGAAGCTGCAGCAGATGCGTTGCTGAGAAACAAGATTCAGCGTATGAGATATAGAACGAGTCTGGTTTCTAGGCGCCAAAACAGTTGTCGTGTGAGAAACAAGATTCAGCGTATGAGCCTCCTTGATACTGCCGAAGCGCGTGATAGGCAGACAGCGATGCAAACGAAACGTCCGTTTTTCACGCACAAACGAAGGTAATTTTGAGAATTCTCAAACATCTCATGAGAGCGTAACGGCGTGGACCCACTATAACGGTGTATTCGGACTGACCGAGTGTTCCTAAAAACGTCTCCATGGTTGCGCGTGTGTCGCCACTCGTTGGATGCGAGCGCGTTATTTGCGCAATCGAATGGACCTCCTACGAGGATTGAGGGGCGCGACCGAGGGAGGGGTAATGGGCGAGGGACGGATCATGGGAGCGAGGCGGGGACAATCCTAAGGGACTGAGGTGAGGGGGATTTGAGCCCTGGAATTTCCGTTTTGTATAAGATTATAGAATTTGGAAAACAGAATCTTACAAGAAGAATAGTCGGACATTGCATTCAGAATAACGCATGAGGAATAGCGTGTGCGTACACAATCGAGTTATTGTATAAAGGATGTTTGATGAACTGTCTTTTGTCCGCCGTATCACGCTGCGATCATTATGGGAGGAAGCAGAACCAGCCAAGCTGGCGCTGCCCAATCAAAACTCCAATCGCGTCTCGCGGGAGGATGTGCATCCACAACAAGAAGCTGAAAGTGCTCAGCGCGAATCACTCCGCCAAAGTCTCCCCCAGCCACCCCGCTCGCCCAGCCTCCTGCCGCGGCCCCACTGATTGCCTGCCTGCCTCTCTATTTTTACTACTACGCTCGCAAAATAGCTCCCAGCCCATTTTTACGCGATTATTCCAAGCCACACCAGAGAAGCTCATAGCTCGAGTAGTAGCGCTCGCGGCGGTCGCGCTGGGAATGTATTGTAATCAGCTGCGATGCCACTGCCGTAATTTCCACAATTATTCCGTCGCTCGTGCGGCAGGTATGAACCCACGTTACTACTGCGGCCGATCCGGCCTCCCGTCACTCCCACACCATCGGTGGCAGCGGACAATAGTATTTAACAGAAGGAGCATCGACTCTCAGCACATCATTTGAGCAACATATCCAGTAACCTACTATTTGCTCTTAACTCAACTCGTGAATTTGTCCTTTGAAGATACCTTTCATCTCCGAGTTGTCCAAGAAACCGCCGGTATCGATTTATTCCGCCGCCATGGCTCTCCGTCACGTTCTTCTTCTCACCTTCCTCGCGGCCTTCGCGCTGAGCCTCTCGGCTGCCTCCGCTCTTCCCAGCCACCCTAGTACGACTAATCGGCGCGCTTTAGGCAACAAGGGCTCCAAGCCCGCGCCGGCGGGCTACGTGAAAGCCGAGTCGCCGAAGCGTCAAGTCACGGCGGAGATGCAAGCCAAGGCAAAGAAGATCGCGAAGGAAGCGTTCGACAAGGCGAAGAAGGAAGCGAAGGACCCGGAGAATCAGAAGAAAGCGGCCATGGCAGCGGCGGAGCAGATCGGAATGATGGCTCTGAACGCCCTGGTGCCCGGAAGCGCGCACGTGATTGACGCTGCGGAAAAGGCGAAGTTCTTTAAGGAGCAGATCTGGCCCATCATCAAAGCGGAGCTCCAGAAGCTCGAGGACGAGGCGGCGGCGGAGCGCCAGAAGCACTATCAGGCGATCAAGACGCCGCCCCAGACTCCCAAGGGCAAGAAAGGCGGCAAGTGACTCGCTTGGGAGACGACGCGAGGTTTTGGGAATGCAGATTGAGCGCAGGAAACAAAGGGAAACCTGTCTGGGGGATGGGAACAGGGCATGGAGGGCACGGGAGCATGATACGGCGGACTTGGGATGAGGCGTGGTAGTTGGGGATGTGGAGAATATGGGGGGAACTGGGAAGAGGGTCTAGTGGGATTTGGTGGATAGGGGGGTAATTTGATAGGGGCAAGGGATGATGGTCTGGGAGAGGGAAGGGTGTTCTCTATATATTCGCTGAGGGAGGAAGAGTGAAGAGGATTCAGGCATGTTGACGATAGAATGGGGTGCTGGTCTTGAACACTGTTTGGTTCTTTGCCCCAGAGTTCAAGTCTTGAGTGTAACTGGATGGGAGGGGTGGAAGCAGGGAACAGAAGGCCAGACGGAGGGGCTGGCAAGGAAGGGGGGCTGGCAAGGAAGGGGTGTGGTTTAGGGTATAAATTAGGCAGGTTGTCTGTGGGATGGGAACGAAGGGCATTCGTTTTGAACCAGCTGTAATCCACTGAAAAAAATATATTGAGAAAGCTTGCTTTCTGTTCTTGCAAAGGCAACGGGCTTCATTACAATTGGGTAAGAAAAAATATATTGAGAAAGCTTGCTTTCCAACCCTCTTCATATACTCGGCGAATTGTAATTCGCCGTTGCTTTGCTTCGTTACAGGTAGCTGCGCTTTCACAATACGCATTTTTAGAAAGTGTTACACACTTTCGAAAAATTTCATACTTAAATGTCATTGCATGTATGTATCACGTCAAGATAACATGATCAATCATTGGCAGGTTGTGGGAAACAACAGTTTCAGTTGTAGGAGAACGTTGGAGATTAGGGAAGCCTTTAAGGTTGTGTTGAAACCTATGTGTTTGTATTGCGTACATCCTTCAATCGAAACATAGGGAGGGGGAAGCTCTGAATATTGTTCAAGCAGATTTTACATAAGGCCATTTCGCGCTGGATTCTCGTACGTGCTTCCAAGCACTATTTCCTCCTCCTATCCTTGTCTCTTCAGGCTCGTGTTTCTGGTCGTTTCGCCATGGACTCGTTACAAGCACGGCAGACATGGGAGCTGGAGAATCGAATCGAGCCGTTGGCGTCCGCTGACGTGGACACGATCTACCGCTACGACGAGCGAATCCACGCGGACGTGCTGTCGCAGAAGCCGTGGACCAAAGACCCGCACTACTTCAAGAACGTCCGAATCTCCGCGCTTGCTTTGCTGAAAATGGTCGTGCACGCGCGATCAGGCGACACCATAGAGGTGCGTGTTGTTGGGCTGAGAAGCCCTAGGATCTTTGTAGAGTTTAAGGACTGAGTAGGATTGTAATAACGGAAGCGTTGTAATACAGAGTGGTTGAACCACCTTGCACTAGTATGTGAGAGCAAAGTAAGTTAGATTAAACAAGCAAATACAAGGTTTATATAAGAGTACAAGGAATACGAATAGATAGATTTAAACCGTTTTACTGTTGCGATTCGATACAGTGCGACTCGGGTAACTGCTCAATGTCGAGTCAGTTGTGTGTCCTTGCTGTCGCGCTGTAATTGTCGAGTCAAAGGTCGCTGACCTTTGACTTTCCCGTAACCTCTAGGCGGTTACCCTAACCTCCGAGGGTTGACTCGCGATGCTTCGATTTGGGCTGCTTCGCTAGTGTCCTGAGTTTCGACACGACAGAGGCGCCTTAAGACTTATTGTTCCCAACACTCCCCTTCGCTTCTGGAGTGTCGCTGATGGTGACGTGGCCTTGTCCAGTCAGCAGCATGCAGTACTCGAACTTCTGTTTTCCGAGTTTCTTTGTCAAATAATCGGCTGCCATCTCGGACGTGGGACAGTAGGATAATTCGAGTTTCCCTTTCTCGATTTCGTCCTTTACGAAGAAGTATCGCAGAGCGATATGCTTCGTTCTGTTCGCGAATTCGCTTTTGTTGGCGATGCGAATTGCAGATTGGTTGTCGCAGAACAGGGTGAAGTTGGGTAACTCGGCTAACTTTGCTTCTTCCAGCAGCTCGCGAAGGTAGAGTCCTTCCTTGGTGGCTGAGCAGAGGGCGATATATTCTGCTTCAGCTGAAGAGAGAGCGATTAGTTCCTGCTTACTCGACTGCCAGGAGATAGGCCCGATAGGCTCGAGACGATAGACGTAGCCGGTACGAGAACGCCTGTTATCAGAATCGCCGGCATGGTCAGCATCGACGTAGCCGATTAGTTTCGTCGTCGTAGCTTCGCCCTTGTAGTAAGTTAGGCCGATCGTCGGTGTGCTCACGAAGTAGTGCAGTGCGCGATCGAGCTCCGCCATGTGCTCAGCTTCGGGTTTCTTGAGATAGGTGGCGAGTTGACTCGCGGAGTAGGATAGATCCGGGCGACAGGTTACGGCTGCGAAGAGGAGGCAGCCTAGTTTCCTCTGGTAGTCTCGTATTCCGGCAGCCTTAAGTGGAGCGGGATTTCCTTTGCCGCTTCCTGTCGTGTGGCGGTATGGCGTGGCGATGGCGGTAGGCGTGAGAGAGAAGCGTTTGGCGATAGTGTCGGCGTATTTCTCGGCGTTGAGGTAGATAGCATTTTCTTCTTCGCGGATGTTGAGCCCGAGATACTGGGTGACGGTGGAGGAGACGGTGAGCGTGAGGTCCTTCTGCAGCTCCCCTTCGAACCAGGTGATGACGTCGTCGGTAGAGCCGATGTAAAGCAAGTCGTCGACATAGACGATCAGTAAGATGTAGTCAGCGCCTTTGGTGAGGCGATACATTCCTTGGTCGTGAGGCAGTTGTCGGAATCCGATGCGGGTGAGGCGGGTGTGTAGGTGCTTTTGCCACAGTCGCGGGGCTTGTTTGATTCCGTAGAGCGATTTCAGTAGTTGACAGACTTGGTTGGGGTTTCCGTGAGTGCCGTGTGGGAGTTCGACGAAGATGTCTGCGTCGACGGGTGCGTAGAGGAATGCGTTGGCGACATCGATCTGTCGCAGCTTCTTCTTCTTCATGGCGGCGACGGCGAGAAGAATGCGGAGAGAGGTATGTCGGCTAACTGGGGCGAAGGTCTCGGTGAAGTCTCGTCCTTGTTCCTGGTCGAATCCACGCACGACCCAGCGTGCTTTGAACTTCTCGATTGTGCCGTCAGCTTTCGTATTGATGCGGAAGACCCATTTCCCGGTGAGAATGGTCTTGTTCCGTGCCACGCTTGCGGGAACGACCTTCCAGGTGTTGCGTTCCTCCAATGCCTTTAATTCCCTGTCCATGGCTTCACGCCATTTTTCCCTGTGTTCCCCCCCCAGAGCCTGCTGAACTGTCGCAGGCTCTTTAGGAAGAGTGTTGCCGGCGGTCCCGTGGACTGCGGTGACGAGGCCAAGGATTTGTAGCCCAGTCTGTGAGTATCGAGGGAGTTCTGGATCCTCGGGATAAGCTGCTTCGTCTCCCGCTTCTGGGTCGGGGATGAAATTTGGCCCTATCCTTTCTGCTTCGTTGGTGTTGACTGTCGCAGGTGTTACGTAACCGTTGTCGGCGAAGTGGTAGAAGACTTCGGCGTTGTT